TTCAAATAAATACCATTTCAAAGCTTTTATCGAGAGCTCTACCTAATTCGTGGAAATTTTGTCCAAGTACCGCTATTGGCAATTGGGATATTGCGGTTTGAAGATTTACAAATTAAAATATACCTAAAAGGGGTTACCCTTAGCAAAAAGTGCAAAGCATTGATAATTTTTATTTTTGGATTTTTCTCAACTTTGATTTTCTGAAACGATAGAGCGAGTTCATATTATTCAGAAACCACTCTAATATTCCAGCCATTCAGCCGTTTAAAATTTGTTATTGTAGCTTGTAGAGTTTTTGAGACATTAAGCTGCAAAGTTGAAATTTAGTCACCATTTTGTCGAAAACTCAAAATTCGATTTTCTCAAAAACCGTAAACACTAGCGATTTCAGTTAAATAAACCTACCATTTTATCAAAAGCTATTATTTCTGAAAGTTTTGTCCTAGTACCTCTTTTGCTTATTCAGATATTCAGGTTTGAAAATTTGCAAATTAAAATCCAAAGGGAACCAGAATATACTAATTGTATTATATTAATGCCATTAAACATCAAAACGTGCAGGGAAGAACAAGAAAGGATATACAGTGAGTTCATAAAGTCCCGCATAAATTCATTATTTTGGAAACGGTAGAATTTTTGAAAAATCGCTCAGACACGTCAATTTTGTTTTTTTTTTTTGAAATTTTTTGATATATTTTTTATCATAAACAGCTTCGTTGGTATCAACTTTATTTTTTTAAATGGTACCCCCTGTATATTATGGCATTTCTGGATTTTGCGAAAAATACTCGACATATTTCATGTACAATGTCATATACCTATCTTCAACTGTTTCGGAAATATTGACATTTGAAAATTGACTTTTTTGCAACTTTGACAGGCTGTAAAACCTAAACGGTAAATTTTAGAGGAAAAACGATTTTACATTCCTATTTTAAATTTGCCTAAACTATTATTTAACACCGACTTTGGATTAAAGCGGAGATTAAATTTAACCGGAATTTTTAATCATAGATTAACTTCAAAGTTGATATAATAATAATAATAATAATAATAATAATAAATGACTTTTATTGTTGCATGTATACAAATTACAAAATTACAATTAATAAATTCATTCTAGACGTCTACTACTGGCGCAGTCTAGCTTTCTGATAGCTACTCTACTGAACCAGAAAGAGATATCCATATAGTTGAGTACTAAATTGATGGCGAAAGCCGTAATAGAAAAAAAAAAAAAGTTCATGAAACAAAATTTTGGGCAAATAGTTCAAATAAAATTGAAAAGAAGTATGTACTAATTACAGTAAGAGCATATACTAATTTAAGCTGATATAACTTATTATACAACATAAATAGTACAATAAAACGAACAGGAAAAGCATTTAATTAAGTATTATTTTGCCTATTAAAAAGGTGCGACTTAAATTTAGTTTTAAAGTTTTCTGAACTTAAATTTAATAATTCTGTGGGAATTCTATTAAAATAATTAACGGCATTGTATGTGAAGCACCTCTGAAACATAGCACTCCGATGAAGTGGCATTGTTAATCTTTTTCTAGCCCTGATGTTAATGTCATGAACATCCTGGCGAAAAACTAAACGTTCTTTTAGGGACTGAGGAGAAGCGGGGTCATTGACAAGTTTCAAAATAAATGTGTAAAAATGCAAATTTCTACGGTCATCCATCTTTAACCAGTTGATACGCTTATAAAGGTGAGAAATATGGTCATACTTTCTAATATCGTACACCAAACGAAGACACGAGTTTTGCACTTTTTGAATACGCATTTTACTCTCAGAATTCAAACAAAATCCGTACAGGTAATCGCAATAATTAAAGTTAGACAGCACCATGGTCTCACACAGATTTTTTCTCAATTTTTGGTTTAAGACATGCCTGCTATTATATAAAAGCTTAAGAGAAAAATATGATTTTTGTATTAATTTTTTAACATGTTCCTCAAATCTTAACTTTGAGTCGAGTATTACTCCCAAATTTTTTGCGCATTCAACAATACTCAGTTGCGTATTGCTAATGTGTATATTAATATTGGTTTTAACTTCATCAACTCTGTTCTGGCTGCCAAAGATCATCATACAAGACTTGGCAGGATTTAGTTGTAAATTATGGCCTTTAGAGAGTTCATTTAGTATTTTTAGGTCGTTATTAATGCCGGCTTTAGCCTCCTTAATGTCTTCGCATTCAAAACTACAATACATCTGCGTATCGTCAGCGAATGCTTGAACATTGCAATAATTTAAAGATTTAAGAATATCCGACGTGTAGATTAAAAAGAGTAAAGGTCCTAAGACCGATCCTTGAGGTACCCCCGACAAAATCGCAGCATTTTCTGAGTACATATCATTATAAGAAATGGCCTGGAATCTATTAGATAAATAGGATTCAATAATTTGACACGATTTTACATCGAAACCGTAATATTTTAGTTTAGATACAAGCAATTTATGATTGATCGTGTCGAATGCCTTGCTGAAATCCAGGAGGACAAGAATCGTAGCCATTTTTTTATCATATGCTCGAATTATGTCATCCGTGACATTAGCCAAGGCCACAGAAGTTCCGAAACTTTTTCTAAACCCGCATTGAACTGGAGGTATAATGCTATTAATATTGACGTAGTCATACATTTGATTATAGAGAATTTTTTCAAAGATTTTTGATATTGCTGGTAAGATGCTTATTATTCTTAAATCGTTAAAAGTTAAAGGGTTGGATATTTTGGGTAGAGGCCTTCCAATCGATAGTTTCCACTGGTCAGGAAAATAGTTTATTTCTATAGAACAGTTTATAATATGAGTTAAGTATATGTCAATATAAGGACTACAATACTTCAGCATGCGCGAAGTTATTTGGTCAACTCCCAATGCATTAGTCTTGATACCATTTAAGATTGTGTGTACCTCTTTTACTGTGGTTAAGCTGAAAGAAAACTTGAGATTATGTTTATAAGTATTGTTATTGTAATATTCAGTTCTATCTATACAGTTTGAAACATTTTGAAAGAATGTTGCAAAGAAATCATTATTAAGATTCACATCAGAAAGATTATTTGGTATATTTTGTTGATTACTGGTACATATATTAAAGCCTTTCAACGTTTTCCACAAGTCACGGGTATTTTTTTCTTGACACAAGGAGTCTAAGCATTTCTTTTTCTCCCTTCTTATCGCTGCTAAAGTTAAATTTCTTAATATTTTGTATTGGTCCCAATGTCTACCCAATCTGGACCTCCTAAACTTCCTCAAAGCATCGTCTCTTTGTTTCATAAAAATCTGGATATTAGGTGTTAACCATGGTGCCTTCGGCTTTGTAACACGGGCTTCCCTCAAGGGAGCATGCTTATCAAACAAAGTTATAATCAGGGTATTGAAAATATTGATTTTGTTGTCTATATTATTTTCGTATAATATATCATTCCATGGTAACTGTTGCATATCGCTAAAGCCCGTATGACATCTGTGTATTTTTCTGTGAATTTATTCATGTAGTTCAGGGTGACAACCGAAAAACTTCAAACGCAACATAAATCAGCATTATGAAAAACAAAATAATGTTGGCACCCTGAACTACATGAATAAATACACGGAAAAATACACATATGTAATACGGGCATAATAAAATTCGCATAATTAAAATTACTAAAACACCTGTATTTAATAATTTTTGGCATGTTAGGTACTTTTGTTAAATTTAAATTGCAATAAACAATTCGGTGATCAGAAATAATATCCGCTGGAATAACTCCACTTTTCAGCACTGCAGAGAGACTTGTAACAAAAATTGCATCAAGGATATTTTATGAAAAACTAAGATAGGAATGTAAAATCGGTTTTGCTGTAAAATCAACCGTTCAGGTTTTAGAGTCTGGTCTGCAAAAAAGTCAATTTTCAACTGTCAATATTTCCGAAACAGTTGAAGATAGGTATATGACATTGTACATAAAATATGTCTAGAATTTTCCGTAGAATCCAGAAATAACATAATATACAGGGGTACTATTTAAATAAATGAAGTTGATGCCAGCGAAGCTATTTTTGAGCCACCCTGTATGATAAAAAATATATCAAAAAATTTCAAACTAAAAACAAAATTGACGTGTCTGAGCGATTTTTCAAAAATTCTGCCATTTTCAAAATAATGAATTTATGCGGGACTTTATGAACTCACTGTATACACACCGCACAAAAATTATCGCATCACCAAATGCTTTTAAATATTTTGGCTACAGTAAATTTATTTTAAAAATTTCTTAAGTATTTCCTGAATGGGCATTCTTCAACTGAAAAACTCGAGTTGGAAAACATGTCGTTTCTTCTTCTGTTAGGTTCTTGTTTACTTTTTTCGGGAAAATGCGGATAGGCATACATTCCACTTTGCAATTATGCTGTTCATTTCTGTGTTTTCTGCTTTGATAGATGCGATAATTTTTGTGCGGTGTATGTTACTCGGGGACCAAAGTATATCGAAAAACCATGAAAAGCGAATCCTCTAAATAGGACAAGAAAATGGAAAGATCTGGAAAAATCTTGAAAAAATATTGTTGATAATGATATTTGCTCAGAATCCCATAGATGAAGATTTATGGGCAGTGAATAAGATTTGGAATCAGAAAATATTTTTGCCGCTTGCAGCATGCGGCTTGAAACGGTTGTTTCGAAAGTGTTTGTTATAAATAAAACACATTTCAAGTGGAGGAAAATATTTAGCATATACTAATCCAGGAATTTGGAAAAATTATATTAGAGAAACAGGAAAAAATCCAGATTTAAGCTTCAAGGGGCTATCGAACAGGTATCATCCAAATTCAATACAGCCGCTCATTTTGCAAAAGGCTCAAATTTCAATAAAATCAAAATATATTAAGAAGATAATCTCTCAAGTACAAGAAAGGAAAATAAGCGATTTTGCTTGTTTTCAAAGCCTCACTAGTTCAGGTAGTCAAAAATACAAAAACGTCTAACAGGATATACGTTACCGCAATGTTCAGATGAAGAAGTGAATCCCAAAATTTGATCAATACTGTACACAGTTCGCGTTTTCTGTTCCCGTATCAAATTAGACATAATTCAAACAAAACTGTTTATATGGAGCCTCTTCGACTGTTAACTCAAACTCAAACCTAATATATTGATCTGACTGAAAAAGGACCAAACTAAGGTGCCTAATAGAATTTCGCCGTCCCGAAGGCTATAAGTTACTGCACTAATATTTTAGAGCCCTCAGAGGTTCAGAGGGGAAGTAAAACCTACCCTCGTATTTTCTCCGCCTTCTGACATTAGACCAATCAAAATAATTCCGTTATTTACGCATGCTTCCATCAAATTTAACCACGCCGACCAGCCAGTCTAATCTGTTTGAACAATACGATACCGTGTATTTTACGAAATACTAACAGTTAATTAAAATGATTACGCCGGTTTATTAAAACGTTATTAGTTTATTAGGAGCCCGCTTGTAAGTAATCAGGTGTTATATCTGTTAATATAATTTCGATATTGTTTATCTTGAAAAGAACACGCTATTAGTTAAATAATAATATGCCTGTTTATTATTTATGAAATAGGTATACCTACATCTAATTATGTAGATAAGGTATCTAGCAGCATTAACTCTTTTAATAAAGTGAATTGTAAATTATATTGATATAGGTACGTAGAGGTATCAAGAAGTAACTATATTTTTGCTGATTGATCACTTTTAAGGTACAAAGAACAAAGAACTGAATTTTCTCGTTAAAACATCATTCCGTCCCCGAAGGGTTCTTGCACAAAATTTTTATTCATCAAGAATCTCCTTCATATTTCCATGAGAAAGAGTAGGTATTTAAAAAGGCCCTTATAAAATATGAAGCTCTATAAATGATTATTTTCTCAGAAATTCAAAATAATAAAAATTATAGGTAAACATCAAACAGCAGTAAGGAACAAGTTAGGTTAGATAACGCTTTAATACAAATATTTTATTTTTGAACAATTTACGTGACTGCGCAAACTTGTAGTAGGTATACGAACATTTGACAACACCGCCATTTACTATGTTCCTAATGACGTCACAACGAAATAGCCATTTTCGCGCTCGATTAAATTTTTTAGATTTAATTTGTGAATAATATATTCAGGGTTAGCTATAATTTTTTTACATACAGGAATCGCAAAAAAAAAAAAAAAAAAACTATAATCCGAAAATGTGCGAGAACCCTAGATTGATGTATTGAAAAATATGTTTTTCCGAAAACATATCAAATAAAGTCTCCCAGCATATTGTTTTTACTTTGCCTACAGGCACTAAACTTGGGTTGGTTTTCTCTGCTTTTCTAGCCACACTAATTAGATCTGATAAATCGAAACACATCTGTGGATGAAAAAGCGAGGAAAATTAACTCACATTTTCACAATTTTTTTTTGATAATTGAGAGTTCTCGTGCTGTCCAAATTTCAAATACCGTAACGCTATTTGACAAGTATGACAGTTCTTACGGTATTAGCGTTAGCGGAGCCCGCTATCTAACGGAACTTAGCGGAAGTGTTACCGTAACGCTACGATATGTCAGAACTAGTTTACGCTCCATTTATGTCTGCAAAAACAGTCTCTTCTAATAATTCCTCCATAAAAAACACCAAGGGAAAATTAATCAAGCTCAGGAATCTTCAGGATAAATGAACGTTAGAAAACAAGCAAAAAAAGTTGGGTTAGATCACTCCAACTCAGCTGTAAACAGAATAAGGGATTAGAAAATATTTGTCTTCGTGTCCGAGAACTATAAAATACCATGTGAAATACCGTATTCTTAGCGGTACCGTATTAACGTAGCGTCTGGGACACGAGAACTCTCTAATAATTTTATTTATTCTTTACAGTATAAACAGCAGCAGTTTGCCTATCACAGATACCAGTTTAATTGAAAAATATAAACATATTCACACCACCTAGAGTCTAGGTCCTAGACATAGGGTACATTCAGGCGGTGCCAACGACTAAGTTCAGCCACTCAGCCACTCAGGGACTTTATTCTCGAAACAGGGGAGCAGCGACAGCAGCGTTCTCATGAGAACGAAGGTTCTGTCTTCGTCGTCCGTATTCATATTTCCATAACACAGACAATAACAGAGAAATCTTTCTCATGAGAACGCTGTTCTTCGGTTTCGAAAATAAAGTCCCTGCTGAGTGGCTGAGCTTAGCCGCTGGCACCGCCTGAATGTACCCATAGACACTAGACACAGTCTGTTTTGATAACTTTTATCTCTGATAACTCCGACTGTGACACAATAGTATATTGTGTATTTAGGTGGAAAAGTGACACATTCTCGGCCGACGGTGTAAGTTGACGGGCGAGGCGTTGCCGAGGCCGGCAAACATCGAAGACCGAGAATGTGCTTTTCCACCGAAATACACATGCTATTTTTTTTGCGATCGGTTAAATATATGTCAAATGTTTGTCTTTTTGTTTCAATTATTCAGCAGCCTAGGCCGGGAAAGTGATTCTCGTATTGGTATTCATTGATTCCTTAGCAACTATTAAAAGATAATTAAAATACGAGAATATTGAGTTTCGCGACCTGTCAACCGGTCAAAAATGGTGACATTTCTTGTCAATCGCAGAAAAAAGAATTAAACTACAAAACAATTTCCTATTATACATTTTAAAATCAACAATGTCGATATTGGGAGTATACAAATTGAATGTATTACAAATTTTGTAAATCGGCGAATTTTTGTAGAGATTTGTCCGAGGACGCAGTAAAAGACATTAGAATTAACACCATAGGCGCAACTAAGGGGGTGCTTGGGGGTGCTAAGCACCCCTAAAGCAAAAAATAGCACTCCCAATCGGCATCCCAAGTACTACCTACAGTGGCACTACCTAACACTAATATAAAAAATTAGTGCAACCAAAAAAATTGAAATTTCAAAGTAGGCCTTGGTTTTTTGACAGTCGATATAAAATGGCGTCTTTTTGTTTCAAAGATAGTATTAAAATCAGTTGACAATGAACGGGTTCGTATAATTCCGGCCCTTCGGGCTTGTATAACCTCGGACCTTCGGGCTCATGATTAAAATAACTCCGGTCTGTCGGGCCCGTATAACTCCGGCCCTTCGGGTTCGCATGACTCCGGCCCTTCGGACTCGTGTAACATCGGCCCTTTGAACTCATAATTGAGATAACCTCAGCCTTCCAGAATCGAGATTTGAAAAAAAACATATGGCAACACTGCTTATAATACAACAAACGTCAAAAAATTTGCCGGTCCCCTGTTCGGCTACTTCCTACGTATATTCGCCGAGGCTAAATCTATATGCCCATGTGGGTTTTTTTTTTAAATTTTGACAACTATCGATGTCAAACATTTTTACCTTTTCTTGTTTTTAAAAAACAAATGTCAGAAAACGATTCCTAGCCTCCGAAAACCCTTAAATTAAAAGTTTCATCGATATATGTCAAAAATCAACGGCCTGGCAACGCCGAACGTCTTTTTTGACATATGTTAAAAAAAAAATGGTACTTCCTACGTATTCGCCGAGGCTAAATCTATATGCCCATGTGGGTTTTTTCAAATTTTGACAGCTGTCAATCTCAAAAAAAAATCCTTTGTTTTTTCCAGTCGTTTTTTAGTGGTTTTTAGGGTGAGATTTATGTAGCAACATGTAGCAACATTTATATGAAAATTTAATGAATTAATTTGTAGCAACAGTTGAATTCAATTTCCCGTCGGGTTTGGAATTTGAATTTTTGAATTTTCCCGGCTCCTGATTGGTTTGGGATTCGAATTTTGATTATTCCCGGCTCTTGATTGGCTTTAAAATAACCTATAATCTCGGCCCTTAGAGCTCGTGATTTGAAAAAAAAAAAACATATGGCAACACTGCTCATGATACAACAAACGTCAAAAAATTGAAATTTCAAAGTAGACCTTGATTTTTTTGACAATCGATATAAAATGACGTCTTTTTGTTTCAAAGATAACGGCCCGAAGGGCCGGAGTATTAAAATCAGTTGACAATGAACGGGTTCGTTCGGATAAAACTTTTGTCGCGCGACACTTTGGCGATATCGACAGATGTCACCTGTCAAATTTGACACATGTTCGACTTTTTCCCTGCTCTACTATAAAAACTACGAAAATTAAACTCCGGTACAAGGCAGTTCCATGACGTCAACTATCGATTTGTGTCGAAAAAATTTGACAGCTGTCAACGTCAAAAAAGTTTTTTTTTAAATTTTGCAAATTTCGAGAAAAAAGTGGTGGAAAACGATCCCCAAACCCCAAAACCCTGAATAAAAATTCCAAAAAAAAAAACAACGAAAATGACATTCCAAAAGTTTTTCTCACTTACCCCGTTGAAAAACTGGAATTTTTTTATGGAAAATGAAGAAAATTCAAAGGCTCGTACTTTAAATCAGTTTTCCTGACTGAAAAAGCCACGGAAAAGTGAAAAATTCGAAGAAAAACTGAATAAAAATGTAAACACATCAATTGAAAATGGCCGACTATCAAAAATGCTTCCTTGATTGAAGTTAGCCACAAGCGATGTTGCCACATCAAAAGCATTTTAAATGGGATTTTGCTAATTATGGCATTTAAAATTAGAAATTTTTACTAAGAAATGAAAAAATCTCAAAACCTCGTATGTTAAATCGTTTTTTTCCATTGAAAAACCCCGGAAAAGTCGAAAATTCGAGAAAAAACTGGCAGAAAATCACAAGACGTCACTTCAAAATGGCCAACTAAAAGCAACGTTGCTACATCTCATCTCGGAAAACAAAAATAACATTTTTCCAAGATTTTTTGTTTAAAATTCAATTCAATAATTAATTAAGAATGATTATAATAATTTAAATTACCCAAATAAATAATATGAAACGTGTTTTTAGTTTAATTTCAAAGAAAATGACATTATAAGGTTTACTTATTGATTATAGTGAGTAAGACAAAGACAACGATAAAGTAGTATATTATTATGTTTGCAAAAGCACCGTTTTCTGAAAAAAGTAAAAATCTTAAGAAAACTCCATAGAAAACCAACATTCCAAAGTCAATTTGATAAAACTGAAGTTTTTGAATATTCCTGGCTCTTTGATTGGACTCTAAAAATCGCATTTTAAATACTCCCTGTTTTTAATTGGCTTCAAATTATCCGCTGACCAATAGAATTATAGATTCAGCCTCGTGATTGAAATAACTTTGG